AAAAAATGGAAATAGAAAAATGAGAGAAAAGAAAAAGAAAAGAAAAAACAAAACAGCAAAACAGAGAACACAGACCACACAGAAGAAATGCAGTAACTCCTAGAAGTCTGTTACCATAACTGTGTGAGATGAGAGGTAAAGAAAAAACAGAGAACAAAACAACAGCCAAAAAAAAAAAACACAAGGCAACCAAAGTAAACATCAGACTAGCTTTAAGAGCAGCAGATATCACTTAGATACCCAGTCATTACATGTGTGGAAAGCAAAATCTTTGGTGATTACACTATATAATTCAGGTTGTATATATATCTGTTGCTAAAGCATTGTACTATTAATGTTACTGTATTATTAGTGTAGATCTGTGAAGACCTGGAACCATGGTATGTATGCATGAGCATGCTTGTGTATTAAGGAATTACAAAGTTTCTTCGGAATGGAAATATGCTCAATAGCAGGTGTGGGTATCCCCAGACTCGCCCTAAAGGACCCAGAACCAACAAAGAGGCAAACAGAGCCCGGTCTATCTTAAGACACCCCAGACCACAGAACACTGGGATGGCAGACATAGGGACGGCCGCATCCACCAGAGAAGGGTAGACAAGAGCACCTGGGGCCCTACTGCAAAGGAGCCCAGTCCCTGATGGGTCCCAGAGGTTAAATTTCTGAGGGCACACAGGCTCCGCTAGCATCCTAGGTAGACCCAGATGAGAGCCCAGGTATCCAAGGCCCTGGAGCGTACCACCCATTGTGGAAAGTACTTTGAGTAAGGTTTAAATCGATACTCTCCTCATAGTTGGACAGAGAATTTATTCATTATAGATCTTAACTATCAGATTTAGTCATATTATTTGATTTTATTTCCCACTTTATGAGACACTGTAGCAACTTGGCTTAGATAATGAGAGCTTAAATCCATTCTGCATTTTATCCATGACTCAGGTTGCTGGTGTGATGGAGTTCAGGATACATTCCGGGAACATTTGGGGCACCTTAGTACTAGCTGAGCATAGTTTAAACTCCACATTCCACTTCTGGCAAAGTATACACAGAAACTGTTTTGGAGTATTATAAACACATATTGCCTTGTTTCATGTAGTTATATTTAATTATAAAACGTCTAATCATCTTAAACCTTTTTTTCAGGGTAGCTCAAAATTATTTAGATTGACTACCAGGTTCAGTCTGGGATCTTATGAAAAGTTAATGCTTATTAAAGGGTGGAGACATTGTGCATGTTGTTTAAGAGTAATTTAGTTTTTACTCACCACCCTGCATGGCTATTAATTTCCATAGCAACTTGAGTATATAATGTCCTGATTATTTTATTTTATTACCTTCTGCTATCGTTATTTATAATGAAAAAAAAAACCCTGTTAGAATTAAGTTGGTGGGATAATATATTTATTTTCCTCGTAGTATACTGAATGTAAGAGGAATGGTATTTTTTTTTTGTCCCACAGAAACAAATAACCAGGTACTGAATGCATGACAAATAGTTTTTGCAGCCCTTGATAAATCAGCACAGTGGACAATTAATGTTTACCTGGAAGCTTTAATAAAAAGGCTTTTTTTGTATAGAAACATCAAATAAGTGTATTGACTCTATTTTTTCTTTCACTTTACCCTTGTTATTAAAGTACAAGTACATGCAACTAACCCTGATTTTTGCAGCTAAATATGTTGGGAAACAATTGCAGTTGTAAAAAATAAATAAATGTATATTTCATTCTGTTAAACAATTCTAACAACTTTTGAAAGTAATTTTGCTTAAAGGGGCCTTTTTTTGTTTGCTTATTGTGTTATGAATATAAACAAAAGGTCAGAGCCTTCCTTGTGTCAATACATTATCAAAGAAAATAAGAAAGCTCCAGACTTTGCTCTTTCTGATTTCGCTCCTCTTACTGGAGATTTCATGTCTTCAGGCTCCAGACAGACCAGCTTGTTAAGTTAATGAATTGTGTACTCTTCCCTGCAAATTAGATTGCTGATATCTCTTCATACAGCCAATGATGATAAAGCTGACCAGTCAGCTGGGTGTGTTGTGTTGGAGTTTGAACTCTGGACCTAAGCGGAGGAGCTGAGAAATACAGTGGAGAATCTTTAGACGGACAGGAAATCTGGATTTAAACTAAAGCAAGAAGGCTGGATATTTTAACCAAAACTTAGTTGGTTTGAGGTTTTCACTCACTTATGGAGAAAATGGAATACTACCCAGATCAGGTAAGTGATTAAGTATTTTGTTCTACTATATTTGGTAAGAAACGGCTATCAGCAAAGGGGAAACTAGAGTAAAGTTCAAGCATAAGTGAAGGAGTATCAACTAATTCTTAAATCTAAAATTGATTGAAAGACATTGAAAAAAGACATTGTACGGTTTACGTTATTTCTTTAAGGTCATGGACACAAGTACAATAATTATATGTTCATTATTTTTAAACGTAAGTTGTGGTGAAATGTCTTTAGCTGTGGACTCAATTGATTTAGTGTGAGTTTTGTTTCTATAGATAAAAGAAGACTGAGTCCTAAAATGTTTGATTTTTCAGGGTTCTGAGTGCTCTGAGCTGCTCGACTGGCTGTTTGATAAAAATGAAGGGATTCTGCGCCATGAGGAAATAGGACAGCCTGGCATCCTTCCCAATCTGCCATTTCAGGAGCCAAATGTTTGTGAGGCTGTTTCATGTCTGATCAACTCTCTCTATAGAAAAAAAGCATTATTCCGTCTTTACATACTCCCTAGATTTTATGTTGAACACATTGTCTCATCTCTCCCCCTGTTGTGTCCCCAGAAGAACTAATGTTAGCACTTGTGTTTTTATTGTTTTTATTAACCAAACAGATGCCCCAGCCAGCTGAGCAGTCGGAAGATGACTTTCTCAATGCCCTTCTGAGTGGGAGTGATTCTGTGTCAGCCTCACCTCTGTGGTCCCCATCTCCTAGTGATAGTGGGATCAGTGAGGACCCTCCATCGGACCAGATGGATAGCCCTCAGCGCCCCGAAAGCCCCCCAGATGCACACTTTTTTGCTACAGGACCACTGGCCAAAGCAGCCCTGGAAGCAAACAAATCCCCTGGTTCAAGTAGGACATAAATCTTTATATTTTATATATATATTTATTTACCTCCCATTAAAAAAAAAAAGATAAATTCAAATCCGTAATTCAAATATCACAAAGCTGACAGAAATTATAATTGACAAAAGTTTACTCAATGATAATTTTGTTGTCCTAATTTTGTTGTCCAAAGTGTTTGGTTTTTGTGAATTTATTTCCTTGCACTGGCTGTTTAAATAAACATTTGCACTACTCTTACATTTGATAGGAACCCATGTTGAAGATGTTTAAAAAGTAAGATAAACTAAAAATTTCTAGCAGTTTTATCATCTCTACACTTCAGAACAATGTATAATGTTTTATTAAGGGAGAGGCATAGAAATTTTCCATGTTCCTTATTATCCTTTTTACTGTTTAGTAGGAAGATAAATATAAAATTTCAGTGCAATCCTGTATATTTATATAGTGCCAATTCACAACACATG